ACATAACTGGCCATATCGTGCCGAATGCTATAATAGGTTTAAAATGTTATGTAAAACTTTGTAAATGACATTAGAAATGAGCCAATTAGATCCTAGAATACAAGTTTATCTCTTTCAAATAATCAATTATGTTTGTTGATGGAATTGTATTAAAGAGTTCTTTGAGTGAATTTACAGAATAAAATCTATTACGGGTCTGTGAAAAATCATGACATGCAAGAAGAAAATGCTTGACAGTAAAATTTTCATTACAACCTGCACAGAAAGGGGCATTGTCATTTGTGAGGAGATAAGAGTGGGTAATTTTAGTGTGTCCAATTCGGCATCGAAGAAGAACTGTTTGATCACGGCGGTTTGACAGAGATAGAGATGGTGACACATCAAGAGATGGGTTTATATCGTGAAGTTTATTAATTAACTTGTGATATGAAATATGATGAAATATTGTATGCTTTGTTGTATCATCGGTTATCCAAGTGTTTCAATTACAAATTACAGTATGATATTCGTTTCATGTTATTTAGTAGATTGAGGGAATAATAGATATAATACACATGAGTGTTTAACTCACTTATGAGCCTTGTCAACGTTTTTTAAGTTAAGAACATTTTCCAGTGAACTATTTGTATGTTGAATTTCAAACAAAAACACTTTCAATGTAATGATAAATAAATATATGGATGTAAGAGATAATATAATTAATCGAACGATCTTACGGTAAAATAGTTTAACAATTTAAATCTAATGTACAATATATTTATCCTGATGTGACATGACTTAAGAGTACGATGGAACTGGCGTTTCTTCATACGGCGGTGCTAGATTATCACACTGCTCTAGTACAGGTGCTGACGGTCGTACTGGTGGACCAGTTTCAAACTCAAGACTTGATAGATCTGCGTTTGTTCCTTGGTTATCATTCATATAATAATTTATATCTGCGATCGATGGAGTAGAAGAAGAAAGTTCTAAATCTGTTGTATCTGTTCTTTGTGAAGTCTGAACATTCTGTAAGTAAAGTTAAATACAACGTTTGAAGTAATGACAAGTTAAATTAGTTCTATTTGTTATAAATATACAACATGTACATTTTTAATCAACATACCTAAAGATACAAAAATGCGTTATCTATAAAGAAAATTTTAATGGTCTTTTTACTTATAATTTGTTTTACAAATGGTCTTTTTTATTTCTTGTCGTGTTTATTTAATGTTTCGAATTCATTACTTAATTTTATTGTAAATAAAAACCACCAGACTCCTTTTGTGCATTGTTAAAGGTAATCAAGGGCACATGGGCAGAACTATCGACCACCCTGGTTTCTTCAAACATCACATGGATTTGTTACCATAGTAGTCAAACGCAAGTTATCTAAAATTAGAGATTTGAATCATTTAGTGACGGACGCTCATCTGCTAAAATATATAATTTGTACCTACATGTAACATTTGAGTAAGTCGTGTTTTGATATTTTTCTGACAGGTTCCACTTTTGACGTCTTCCTCTTCTGCGTCTTCTCCTTTCTTATACTGATGGTAGAAAAACTTTAGAGCAAATAAAACTGTTATCCCAAGTAAACCACACAATAAATATTGTACGATTTTGCTAGATTTCCCAGGCTTATGTTGCACAGAGCAGACGACATCATTGAAACGCTTGCATATATCTTCACTGTCAAAACAAGCGTCTTTTAATTTCGTTGAATTTCTAATAGAACAACCAATACCATCTGGACCTTCACAGGCACCTGCTTAAAGTTAGTATTAACTTTTGAATAATTGAAATTTGACAATTAAATCAACATACTTTATTGATATTCTTACGAATACTTTTGTAAATTTCGAATTGTTTTGTATAGTAAAAATGTAAATTTAATAGCTCATTGTGAAGTCATTTACATACAGAAATTTATCTAAAGTGTGATCCTGAATTATGCTCTGTAGGAGCACATTTGTCTCGGAACACATTTGTCTTACGTAAGACCGATGCGGTCGCATTTGTCCCGCATGAGACAATGGGACCTCAAATGTCTACCCCAAAAAACTCATTTGTGCGACAAATGTGCTCCGATCATGTTTTTTAAGGGACAAGAAAGCACATTTGTCTCTCGTGTTTTTTAAGGGACAAGAAAGCACATTTGTCTCATGTCATTTTTTATGAATTATTTGTCACATATTTCCCAACGGCAGAAATTCGTTTTTAGAATCAAGGTTCGCCGTTTTACCTCAAGTGTAACCATCAATAGGTTTGCTTATGCTTTCTTTATGAAAACCTACAGTGAACTATTAATAATAATATCTCTTATTCAAGAAATTGAGTGACTTAACCTGAAGGCGTACACTGAAACATACTAAATCCCGTTCACGATTGTACAATGGTGACAGCGCGATGGCACGATGGTACGTTGATGAAAACGCGATGGTGCGATGGTGAAAACACCATGATACGAACGTGAAATAACGATTATACGATGATGAAACAACGATTGTATGATGGTGAAACAACGAAGGCTCGATGATGAAAACGTGATGGTACTATGATGAAAGACGATGTTACGATGGTGAAAATACGATGGTACTATATGATGAAACTGCGATGGTATGATGGTGAAAACGCGATATTATTTTCTCTATCGTGTCATTGCATCATCGTGATTTCACCATCGTGCCATCGTGTTTTAATCATGGTACCATCGTACCATCTCAATTTCACCTTTGTACAATTGTGCATAGCTGTTCAGGGAGACAAAAATGTTACTTATGTCCAAACGGAACACCATATTCGGTTGATATTGAATGATACAATATCGTGACTCGTTTCGCATCTCGCCGAAATTTCGCGTCTCGCTTCGCATCCCGTTCGTCAACGCGAGACAAGAAATTGATTCTAGGTCATATACCGCTAAGTAGTATTCCCTTTATAGTCTACATAAAATCACTTAAAGGCCCATTATGCCTGAGAAATGCTTTTATTTGTATTCCTCAAAAGCTTTTTATTTTTGGCATACATTTTTTAGCTCCAAAAAGTTACTCATTGGCTAATTATCTGAAGCATTTTTCATCTGCTGCTTGATTGCAATTTGTACAGTTGAAGTGATTTAGAATTTTATATTGAAGTCAAAGTACTACATTGTTTACATTTTGCTACTTTTATAACGCATTATTTCACATTTATCGCGAATTTCGTTGGGTTAGAAGCATCTAACTTCCTCAGAAATCATTATTTGAATATTAATAAATTCATACTTGCCCTATCTAAAGAAGTAAAAATTTATTCATTTCTGAAATCTCTTGGTACGGGATACTTTCACATTGCGAGATCTCCTGTTACAATATCGTGTAAATTTTAACTTGTTGTTATGCCTCTTGTCAAAACATACTACTAATACGAAGACTACTTCAGTTTTCTACGGTGGCACAAAGGTGACATGTGTGTGTGTGTTTTTATTTATCCCGCGCGCACTATGTTGTGGCAATGAGTTACTTAGTCGTGGCCACGAGTTACTAAGTCGTGGCCATGAGATAGTTAAATCGTGTGAACGAGATACTATGTCGTGGCCACGAGTTATTAAGTCGTGGGCACGAGATAGTTAAGTCGTGGGAACGTAATACTATGTCTTGGCCACGAGATACTATGTCGTGGTCACGAGCTACTAAGTTGTGGCCACGAGATAATTAAGTCATTGGAACAAGATACTATGTCGTGGCCATGAGCTACTAAGTCCTGGCTACGAGATACTAAGTCGTGACCACGAGAAAGTTAAGTCGTATGCACGAGATAAATAATCAATCAGATTACACTATTTATATGAATTTTCCTAATTAACTAACCGTACTATCGTACAAGGATGCCCCTACTTCACCTGACTGTAAAAGTGGCGTCATTGTGACCCAATGGCCTCAAAAGTATTAGGTGTCATCTACTGATCAGGTGCAATGATATATCTAGGTTAACAAAACATGGCATCTCCTTCTTAATCATTCATCAGACAATGATTTTACATGAACTTTCATGTTTACCTGACCCCCTTGTTACCTCAAACCATCCTTATAGGCCTATCTTACTGTCCATGGGCATTGTCCCTACCAAGAAAAATAAACCAGGACTAATTCCTTTCTCAAGTTATCTTAATATAAAACAAGGTTAACAGGCCGTTTGTACGTACAAAACTGACCCCAATTCTGTAATAGGATTGTCCCCACAAAGGGGCTTTATAACTTAATCAAAATTAATGTCTGATTTATGGTCCTTAGAAATTTACTTTCTTATATGATCCAAAAGACATGTATCAAGTTTCAAGTGAATACTACAGTATTTTCAAAGATATATGTTGCATGTTAAACTTTAAACAAAAATTTTTCTAAGTTTTAAAATTTCATAATGTAATCTGATTTGTTAATTATCTCGTGCGCACGACTTAGTTTTCTCGTTCCACGACAAAGTAACTCATGGCCACGACATAGTGTCTCGTGGCCACGACACAGTATCTCCTTCCCACGACTTAATTAGCTCGTGGCTACGACTTAGTAACTCGTGGCCACGACATTGTATCTCGTGCGTACGAGATAAATAAAAACACACACACAAGTCACCTTTGTGCCACCGTATCTTTCACTTATCTCAATTTGTTTGGTAATTACATTCAATTTTGATAGAATCAACATATTACTCTTCTTTAAATATATCTTTACCTAAAAAAATCAAATATACTGTCTCTAAGAGGCTGAATCAATAAGGAAGTTTCAGCTTACAAGCTCTCCAAACCTTTCAAAAAAAATAATCATTTTTGGGTAAAAAAAACATAACGTTATACTTTATCACATTACGTATGTACATTCAGCATTTTTGTTACGATACATGTATTGCGCCTATCAAGTAAGAAATTTTACATACATTATAAGCTATTATTATAAACATGTCTATAACCTTGTCAAGTTGTACACTGATAATTATATAAATACATTTTTTTCAAACGCAACTTTTCGGTCCTATATGTCAATCCTTGATATTATGCTGAAGTATTCCGGTTGAGATTTTTAAAACCGAAAGTAGTTTTTCAGATAATTTGAAAAACTTTCCAATTTCTGTTTTAAAACTTGAATTTATACTTTTATCATCTATTGTTCATCAACATTAACGTTCTATTCAACTTAAATTGAAACGGGATTAATTAAAAACAATTTAGAATGAGCAGTGTCAAGGAGTCAAGTCAAGTCAAGGAATTAGAAAATAGCAGTATAAACATAATCGATATGCCTGAGGCATTTACAGAAAGTGGACAATGTGACGATGAGATTACGTTAGTGTTTGATAACAGCAACAAACTTTATGTTTCGAAAAACTTTCTACGATACGCCTCGCCTGTTTTCATGGCAATGTTTGATCATGATTACAAGGAAAACAAGGAAAACAGCGTATCATTGACAGGGAAAAATTACGACGATTTCCTCGAATTTTTGCTTTGTATTCACCCGAGGATTTTTAAACCGATTACAGGTAAGTTCAGACATATCACATGAAAAATATAGAGAAGTGCAGAATTTACTAGATAAATTATTAAATATGACACATATCTGATTCTATTTATAATCTACTAATTTTTTGTAAACAATGGGTAAAAAATCTTCAAATAATAATTCTAAAAGACTTGCATACCTTATTTTTTCATGTTGTCAAAGCGATCGATTACTTCTCATATTTTATTATTTTGGAGGGTAGACTTAACAACTGCAATAATTGACAATCCATCGTATCATGTGACAATCAACAGTCACATAAATATTTATAATATGTATTACAATAATGCATACTTCTTATATTTATTTTCCATTATCATATCTGTTTTTATGCCCCCGGGCATATAGTACTTGAACCGTCCGTCTGCCCGTCTGTTTATTCGTCCGTCTGTCCATACGAGGTTAACCTAAAACGGCAAGTTGGATTTTTCTAAGTACTACCAATACCAATGGCTTCATACTTTTCACACTCACTAATCAACACAATGTTCATGATGTGGGCAAGTTACATAACTATGGCTTCCATCACTTAGAAAAATGAATTATTGGTTAACGTAAAAAGGCAAGTTGGATATATTTTAAGTTCTATCTCTACTAATAGCTTCAAAATTACAACACTTACTTATCAATACAAAGTACATGATATTGCCAAGTTATATAACTGTGCTCAGTTATTTCCCTTTTTATCACTTTAAAAATAGGGCCTTGTATGGTAAACCTATTCCGGCAAGTTGGATTAAGTTCATATTTGGTAGGTGGATACCATAAATGGTCTTCTAATTGTTGATGATGTAAGGGGTCAAGGTAAAGGTCACTGGTGAAAAAAGAAACCAACAACTTTAAACATTATTGCTCATACAGCCTTTATTTTTATAAGTTGATGCCATTCATAATTAATACAAACTGTTAAAGATCCCGTATGTTTTGTGATTGATATTGTTACTGTGCGTATACCACACTTGCAAAAAATATATATGTATATAATTAGACAAATAAAACAATTTTCAAACATCAAAGAATATGTAAAATGTGTACTGCAAATATTTGTGCACATTATATTTAATCAATAAATTATATGCATTCATTTCTAATTGAAAAATTTGACTTAGAATTTGTAGAAAATAAATTTCTAATTACCTCCCTTTATTTACATGAAGTTAAATTCGGTAATATCTTTATAAATAATGCTTATTGGAACTTACAATATTGACAAATCTTAATATGAGCATCAAATTTATGAAATAAAACCATGAAAAAAATGTGTTACAGGATCTTTAAGGAAGTCCTCTTCCTTGAGTTTAGTTAGGAGTCATTTGGGTCAATGACAAGGTCACCAATGTCAAAAATATATTTTTATACTTTTACAGGTGTATTAACCTTATTCTATTGACAGATGTCCCTTATATTTGGTAGGAATATGAAATCTGTGTGTGTTTCTTTCTAAGTATGGAGTTACTGGTCAGTTGGGCAAAGGTCAAAAGTGGTAAAAATAGATTTTTACACTTTTGCTCATACAGCCTTTATTTATGGACAGATGTTTTTCATATTTGGTAGGAAGATAATTTTGCATGGTGAACTTCTGATTGAGGTAAGGGCCAAAGGGTCAAAGTCACTTGTGCTAAAATAGATTTTTACACATTTGCCCATATAGCCTTATTTATTGATACATATATTTCATATTTGGTAGGAAAATAACTTGCATGGTTTCCTTCCTTTGTATGGAGTTAGGTGTCAGTGGGTCAAGGTCATCAGTGCTTAAAATAGATTTTTACACTTTTGCCCATGCAGCCTTTATCTATTGACAGATGTATTCCATATTTGGTAGGAAGATAAGTTACATAATATTCTTCTTTTTGATTGAGATAGTGGTCAGTGGGACAAGGTCAAGAATGCCAAAAATAGATTTCTACAAATATTGCTTATACAGTCATTATTTTTTGACTTCTGTTTTTTAAATTTGGTAGGATGATAACTTGCATGGTCTTCTTCCTTTGGATTGAGTTAGGGGTCAGTTGGGTCAATGTTACCAGTTGTTTGCAAACTATTTAATATTATTTTTGATTCAGGTTTCTTCCCTGAAATTTGGAGTAAAGGGGTAATTCTTCCTTTATACAAGAATAAAGGTGATATTAATGATCCTGACAATTACAGGGGAATAACAATTTTGAGCTGTTTTGGTAAATTATTTACATCTGTTGTGAATAGTCGGTTGAATAATTTTTTAGAATCTGATAATATTCTTTGTGAAGAGCAAGCCGGGTTTAGAAAGAAATACAGTACAGTTGATCATATTTTTTCACTTAAATGTTTAATAGATTTGTACTTGGCTAACAAAAGAAAACTATTTTGTGCTTTTATTGATTATAGAAAAGCCTTTGATTCTGTAAATAGACTTGCTTTATGGAACAAGTTATTAAGTTCAAATATAGATGGTAAATGTTTTAAGATAATACACAATATGTATGAAAATATTAAGTCCTGTGTTAGAGTCAGTGACCAATTTTCTGACTTTTTCTCAAGTCTGGCTGGCGTCCGACAAGGAGAAAATTTATCCCCAGTTTACTTTTTGTTTTTAAATGACTTGAACTCGTTCCTGTCTCAAAGATTTGAAGGTTTAAATTTCCTGTCTTACAGTGTTAGTAACACTTTAAGCACAGATGATTTTGAAGTTTATCTTAAATTGTTTATGTTGCTCTATGCTGACGATACAGCTATTTTAGCTGAAAGACCTAATGAGTTACAAAAAGCATTAAATGCAATGTCTATTTACTGTAATACTTGGGGTTTAAAGGTAAACACTGCCAAAACAAAAATTGTTGTGTTCTGTAAAAGTAAAAGGGGGTGGAATAATATTAATCCTCTAGAATTTGAGGGTAACATACTTGAGATTGTAGATTGTTTTGATTATCTTGGGGTTCAGTTTTCATTTAACGGAAAATTTTTAGGCACAAGAAAAAAACTGATTGATCAAGCTCGGAAAGCTATGTTTTCTGTGTTAACAAAGTCTCGGAAACTTTCTTTACCATTTGATATACAATTGAGTTTATTTGATGCAATGGTGGCTCCTATTATTTTATATGGATCCGAGGTCTGGGGAGTAGAAAATGTACAAATAATTGATCGTTTCCAATTGAAATTTATTAAATTAGTTTTCGGACTGAAGCAATCTACCCCATCATGTATGATTTATGGCGAGCTAGGAATATTGCCTTTGTCTTTGCAAATTAAGTCAAGAGTTCTGAACTATTGGGGCAAACTGATTAATGATAAAAAAGATAAAATTTGTTCTATGCTGTATTGCATGTCAAAGAAACTTTACTCTGATTTTGATGTTGATTTTCCTTGGTTGAAATTTGTGCATACTTCTTTAGATTCTCTCGGTCTGTCAAGTTATTGGATTTTTCAAACAGTTAGTTCTGTCCCACATTTTAAGAAAATTATTTCTGCTAGAATTAAGGATCAGTTTATTCAAGATTGGCAATCTCCTATTCATGAATCCAGTAAATGTCTGAATTATAGAATTTTTAAAACTCAATTTGGTTTTGAAAAATACTTTAACATTTTACCATCAGATTTAGCAATAGCGTTTTTCAAATTTAGATGTATGAACCACAAAATGCCAATTGAAACAGGTAGATTTTTTAATTTGGATAGGAGTCTAAGAGTGTGCTGTTTATGTTCTGATAATTTGTTAGGTGATGAATTTCATTATTTATTTCACTGTTCCTATTTTCAACACCTGAGAAAGACATATTTAGACATATCATTTTTTCATAGACCTAACATTATTAATTTTTCAAATTTAATGAATAGTGAAAGCAAAAATGTTTTATTCAATCTAGCAATATTCTGTAAGAAAATAATCTTTGTGCTTAATAATACATATTGATATATTTTTTTTCATTTTGATCTCATTCTCCGATTCTAAATTGTTAAGTATAAATATGTTATATTTTTATTCTATTTTTTTATTCTATTTTGTTCTCTTTTTTGTATGTACATAATTATGTTCATAACATTGCCATTTCAATTATGTATCACTTTACTTTGTTTTGTAAACATTTGTTATATTGTTGTTTTCTCACATGCCCAGTTGGGCCTTGAGATATCAATAAAAACTTGAAAACTTGAAGCTAAAATATTTTTTTTTCACTTTTGTCCATATAGCCTTTATTTATGGACAGATGTCTTTCATATTTGGTTTGAAGATAACTTGCATGTTTTCAGATTAAGTAAGTGGTCAGTGGGTCAATGTCAAGAGGGCCAATAATAGATTTCTACACATTTGCTAAAACGGCCTTTATTTTTGACTGATATTTTTCATAGTTAAAAGTATGAAAACTTGCATCCTTGGATTGAGTAAGTGGTTATTTGGGCCAAGGTCACCAGTGCTTAAAATATATTTTTACAGCTTTTTATCTAGCCTTTTTTTGTTGTTGTTTTACCAATGTCTCATACTAACAAGAAACATACATAAGGTGGTCCTTCAAATTTGGATCGAGTTTGGGAAGTAAATTCTTGCATTATGCATATATATGGAAATATTGTTACTTACAAGAATTTGAGTAGCGGGCATTTGTGTTTAACGAACATGTTCTTGTTTTTTGTGTGTCTGTTGTTGTTGTTGTTTCTAGACAAAAACGTTCTACGGATCGTGGAAATTGCAAACGAATATCAGGTGACATCAATCATAAAGAAATGCAAAGAAACTATGATGACTTGGTTACAGACTTTATTTGGTCAGGCAAGAACAAAGGGACATTATCTCTACCAAGCAGAATATCTCCGACCATGTCTTCGTATAATAGCAAAAGCACATGAATTAAGCTATAATGATGTAGTACAGTTTGCAGCAAAAACTATAGCAAAGTTTGGACACATTCTTTATAACAAAGGGCAGACACAGCCGCCATTGAATCCTTGGTGCAGCCCGTACATAACTGATAAAAGAGGAGATGAAACATATAGTGATATAAAAGAAGACTGTATGAATATGTTTCAAGAACTTTCTTTAGATATCAAATACAAAATAGTAACAGAAAGATTGCTCCTTCTAAACGAAGAATGTGATATTAAAGATTAATGTGAAAAAAAAAGAGAAAATAAATAAAAGAAATTGAAGTTGATGTAAAATAACGTTATTTCACAGATAAGATTATTTTCGAAGTTGACCAAAATGATGATAAATATACATGTTCGAACATTGTCATTCATTAAACTGGATAAAAAGGTATATATATTCATTCTAATATCGCCATTATGACATGCTATTGTGAACAAGTTCAGAACCTGGATCCAAAATGCTATACAATACAATAAAATTTGTATATGACTTCTTATCATCATTTCGTGTCATTTACACAGTCTTTGAAACAGTTTGGTTTAAACATATTTATTTAAGCTCGATTGCGAAACAAGTTCTTGCAACTCATATTAATCACTCCTGGAACCAATCAGTACTGGTGTCGTATGAAGAAAACATGGTCGTGACCCGAGTAGGGCTCGAACCCATGATCTCTGACAGGCAGACACCTTAACCACTAGGCCACCGCTCCCCTTAAACAGTTGAAGAAGAAAGGAGTAACTCTATGATCTATGAAGTTACCTCCACTAATTGCGTGTAACATGCGCGTTGTGTAAACAAATTAACACTGAATACATGCAGTTCGATTCTGATATGGAATATTTATGTAATTTTTTACAATGTCTCTTTATGAATATTGATAAACGAAAAATATCATTTCTTTCGTTTGAGCAACGAATTAGAAGGAAATTATTTTCCCTTAAGGTAACTATTCGTCGTCAGCGAGACATGGGTGCACGTTTCGTGCAGTATTTCGGTCTTTGTAAGTTCATTCAGCTTTGTGAAACCATCCGGTTTACATCGTTATTTTTTTTTTCAAAAATAGGAAGTAAATAATTATGAATAAAATATGTTTCATTCATAGGTAGAGTGTAAACAGATATGCAATTGTAAATTTGTTAAATTGTGTCAAAGTGTTTTTCTTTAAAATAGTAGATAAATATTAATGTGAATTATAAAATATGATGAAATATTGTATGCTTTGTTGTATCATCGGTTACCCAAGTCACGGGGGAGGAAGTGTTACACGAAGGATGGAGTTCTTATGATAACTTGTTTGGAATTCTTATGATAACTGTCAGGGAGTTCCTGGAAAACGTTACGGATTTCTGTGGAAAACTTTTCTATATACCTGGAGAACTCGCTTAAAAAATGGTTAATTTTAACTTTAAATGGGGAGTTTGAGGTGCTAAATTTAACTTTGATAATTAAGCTTGCCCTACATATTGTATTTTGTTTCAGAAAAAATCTTTTAGTCCATATTTTGTCGCCTTTTAAAAAAATCTGGTAGTTTTTAGAAAAATTACCAAATTACTTGCTAATTCGTACATATTGACCTTTTCATTTGTGACCTTCTTCGTTGCTATACTTAATTACATAATCACCTAATTATTATGGAGAGTTGCAAACATAAAGCCCAGGCTAATAAATTTATACCCGATTTTTCAAATGTTACGGAGTTCTTGCGATAACTCAAAATATGTCCTGGAGTTCTTATGATAACTTTTGTTACTGCCAGTGTGTTTTTGTGCTTAATCGCGGCACGTTTAAGCGTATTTTATAAGTCAATAAGTGTGTAAATCATTATGAAGCATAGTACGCTTATCATTTGCACAAAAATTTGGTTATATAACGTTGGTTTTGATCGTGTTTTTCAGTTCAAGAGATATTTTTCTTACATCCGTTTCTTGTGGTTTTTGTGTTTGTTTTGGTCTGTGTGTGTGTGTGTGTGTGTGTGTGTGTGTGTGTGTGTGTGTGTGTGTGTGTGTGTGTGTGTGTGTGTGTGTGTGTGTGTGTGTGTGTGTGTGTGTGTGTGTGTGTGTGTGTTTAATATTTAATGGAATGACTGTAAACATACTTGATGTAGAGCATTTACTTACAGGATAAAAATACGCTTTTGAATTTTAATACTCAAGCATGATTTCGTCATATATACATTATTCCTGGCAGTTTGAGAGAACCTATCGGTATGCATGTAAAATGGTTTTCAGCAAAATAGGAGGTAGTATGCACTACCTTTATCTAAATTTAATGAGGTGGGTGTCGTCTTTATGTATTCAACGGGTATTTCAATTTCTAAAAGGTATCAGTTTTTTTCATAGAAACGTATAAAGTTCTATGACAATGATATGACGATATAAAGTAAGTCTTCAAGTCATCGTAAAGTTCATGCCGTTTATTCTCTATTAAATCCAATGTAGCATCACGTGACGAACAGCAATTTCCATATTTCGGAAAATTACTGCATACATTTTTCTCCTAGTGGAAATTTTGCAACAACTTTTGCTGTAGTTGATTACAAAAATATATTGCCGAACTTCTTTCGCTCGAACCCGTAGGGCACGTGCAAATCTGTCGAAGAGATAGGTAGTAATCGGTTGATGTTTTATGCATGAAAAGATCATACATTTCTGTTGCATGGGTGTGAAGGATATCCCGGTTATATACGATACATGGTATATAATGATACAATTTACTTAGCCGCTTCTTTGAGGGAAGCCCAACTACTTATTGTCTGCTTTAGAAAGGCGGTTACTTAAAACATGTAACTGAGAAAAAAAGTGTAAAGTTTTAAACAATTTTTCCTTGCGGTTTTAAGCCATGTTACTGCTAAAATACAGGTGACCGCTATTTCAGGTTTTCCTGAAGATTTTGTTTGTTTGTTTGTTTGTTTTATTTTACGCCTTTTCCAACAGTATTTCAGTCATATGGGCGGGTAGTTTCCTAAACCATCGTTCCTGGAGAGTTACACCAGTACTAGACTACCTTCCTCCGTGCTAAACTACCAAAGCATCACCGGGGATCGAACCCACGCCAGAGATGTAACTGGATTAGAAGTCATCGACTCAAACCCCTCGACCACGGAGGCGGTAGTTCCTGAAGATAGCTTAGCACCTGTTTATCCTATGTAGACTGTACACCAACGCAGTTTCATGTCTTCTCCAGATATATATTGAATGATCGTGTTTTAATTTTGCCACATGGCCTCAATGTTACATTTGCGACGAACAGTGTACATAGAAACATTTAGTGCATTCGTTGGGTTTTATAATGTCAATATGATTTCGCACAAATTTAATTAGGAACTAAAACACGATCAAAACCAACGTTATATAACCAAATTTTTGTGCAAATGATAAGCGTACTACGCTTCATAATGATTTACACACTTATTGACTTATAAAATACGCTTAAACGTGCCGCGATTAAGCACAAAAACACACTGGCAGTAACAAAAGTTATCATAAGAACTCCAGGACATATTTTGAGTTATCGCAAGAACTCCGTAGCATTTGAAAAATCGGGTATAAATTTATTAGCCTGGGCTTTATGTTTGCAACTCTCCATAATAATTAGGTAATTAAGTATAGCAACGAAGAAGATCACAAATGAAAAGGTCAATATGTACGAATTAGCAAGTAATTTGGTAATTTTTCTAAAAACTACCAGATTTTTTTTTTAAAAAGGCGACAAAATATGGACTAAAAGATTTTTTCTGAAACAAAATACAATATGTAGGGCAAGCTTAATTATCAAAGTTAAATTTAGCACCTCAAACTCCCCATTTAAAGTAAAAATTAACCATTTTTTAAGCGAGTTCTCCAAGTACATGTTTATAGAAAAGTTTTCCACAGAAATCCGTAACGTTTTCCAGGAACTCCGTGACAGTTATCATAAGAACTCCAAACAAGTTATCATAAGAACTCCATCCTTCGTGTAACACTTCCTCCCCCGTGCAAGTGCTTCAGTTACAAATAACAATTTGATATTGAAAAATAGGCTGGGTTGTGTTTTATTCATTTAATATGACTACGTAGATCGAGGGAATAATTAATACACCACTGTATGAGTGTTTGACTCACTTATAAGCCCTATCATCGTTTTGTTTTTTATTTAGTTTAAATATTTTTCCAATGAACTATATACATGTTGAATTTCAAACAAAATACATTTAATGTCAACGAATTGATAAATAAAATAATTATATTGATGTTAAGCGATAACATAGTTGATCTCATGATCTTACGGTAAATTAACAATTTAAATTTAATGTACAATATATTTATCCTGATGTGACATGACTTCAGAGTACGATGGAACTGGCGTTTCTTCATAAGGCGGTGCTAGAGTATCACACTGTTCCAGTACAGGTGCTGACGGTCGTACTGGAGGACCAGTTTCAAACTCAAGACTGGATATATCTGTGTGTGTTCCTTGGTTATCGTTCATATAATAATTTATATCTGCGATAGATGGAGTAGAAGAAGAAAGTTCTAAATCTGTTGTATCTATTCTTTCTGAAGTCTGAACATTCTGCAACTAAAGTTAAATACAACGTTTGAAGTAATGACATGTTAAATTAGTTCTATCTGTTATAAATATACAACATGTACATTTTTAATCAACATACCTAAAGATAAAAAAATACGTAATCAATAAAGAAAATTCGAATGGTCATTTTGCTTATAATTTGTTTTACAAATATTCATTTTAATTTGTTGTACTGTTTATTTAATGTTTCGACTTCCTTACTTGATTTAAAGGTAAATTAAAACCAACAGATTCCTTTTTTTCGGGCATGATTATAGATAATCGAAAAGACGGAAGATCTATCGACCATCCTATATTCAGCTGGATGGTCTCTTCAAACATGACCTGGACTTGGTTAATACATAATTTATTTTAGTTCGATTGTGTAGGTTGTGTAGGAAGCTATAAGCTTATACACACACTTTCCAATCTGTTCCTGGAATCAACCAGTACTGAGCAATGAGTCTCAAGGAAACAACAACTTGACCGGGTTGAACTCATGCGGGTATCGATCATAAGATTACTAGTCTGACGTGTAATCCGCTCCGCCATGCCGCCAGTCTTATGGACTTGTTACCATAGCAGTCAAAGGCAAGTTATCCAAAATTAAAGATTTGAATCATTTTGTCACGAACGCTAATCAGTTAATATATAAATTTGCACTTACATGTAATATTTGAGTAAGTCGTGTTTTGATATTTTGCTGACAGGTTCCACCTATGACGTCTTCCTCTTCTGCGTCTTCTCCTTTCTTATACTGATGGTAGAAAAACTTTAGAGCAAATAATACTGCTATCCCAAGTAAACCACACAATAAATATTGTATGATTTTGCTAGATTTCCCAGGTTTATGTTGCACAGAGCAGACGACATCATTGAAACGCTTGCATATATATTCACTGTCGAAACAAGCGTCTTTTAATTTCGATGAATTTCTAATAGAACAACCAACACCTTCTGGACCTTCACAGGCACCTGCTTAAAGTTAGTATTAACTAATAAATGATTGAAATATCATTTGACAAGTATATTGATATTCTTAGGAATACTTATATAAGTTGCTAATTGTTTTGTATAGTAAAAATGCCAATTAAACAGCTCATTATGATTAAGTCATTTACGTACAGAAATTTATCTAAAGTGTGGACCTGAATTATGCTCCAGTTCTACTTTGCCTGTTTAATTACGAGTGCTTTCCAAATTTGATTCAGCGATAAATGAATTTCAATCAACTAAATTGTAAAAGGAGAACATGATTGTGCGACAGCCAGTCCGAAGTACTCACACCCTAACAAGTGACTTGAGTTTTATGTTGTAAATATACAACAAAATGACATTATGTTTTTACGATCACTAAAAATATCATTATTCCGTACCTCCATGAAAACTGGAATAAATCAGGGTGAAGTTTGCTGGATGCTGTTTTTCTTGTTTTGAGCGTGTAAATGAGATTTTCATGACACTGCCTTCCGTCATAAACAGACAGTCATCTCTATTTGTAAGAACAAGATTACGACCACATAAAATGTCAGAAACACCTAGGAGAAAATATTAAAGGAATTGAAAGATTTATTGTTTTTTATCATCGCCATCATCATGATTGTCGTTATGATAATCATAATCATCATTATATTTTGTTTGTCATCATCGTCTACATAAAAACATCATTCATGTCACCATCACTATCATCATCATTATAATTGTTATTATTATTTATTATTTATCTGAAATGGATTTCGTAGAGTTCGCACATTCGTCAAACAAACTTATGTTGATAAACCTACATTCATTTGGCAAGAAATAGTTTGAGAAATAAAACATTATACTATGTTTTGCTGAGTGAAGACGGTTACTGCTGGATGTAGTAACCAAGGTAACCTGGCAGGATATGACGTCAGCTGGTAACTTGGCGTTATTGAATTCAAGTTGTCCAGATGTAACGTTTATTGTAGAGCCGCAGAGGCCGTGCATATAATCTGTAGATGAAATATAAACAATAAAACATTTCGTAACAATATTTTTTGTAACTTTTGTTGTTGCAACAGTTTCAATGTTAAATAACTATAGAATCTTGATTTCATTATATATCGTTCTATAAATATAATATAATTGTAAAACAGCTATCAAATGTTAAAATGTAGAGAAATTGATAAACAGTTCACTTACATTTTAATGTATGCTATTACCATATATGACTAAAGAAACTTGTTCGCTTGACAAGATATGGTTTAATTTTTTCTTGTAAATACATGTAAAATATTTTGCTAAATATTATATTTGCTATATGCTAAACAATCATCCCGTGTGCATTTCGTGTTATTGTAACGACTACTTTAAAGGCCCATTATGCACAAGAAATGCTTTCAAAAGCTTTTTAGTGTACTTGTATAGTTACTAAAAAGGTACTCATAGGCCAAAAACTCAGTTTCTTTTGATGCTTCCTGGTAATTTATTAGATCAGTTGTATTGTTTATAATGTTTGGAGGTCTTAATACTAATTTGTTTAAATTTTTTCTTTTATAGCAAATAGTATAACATTTAGCGCTACTTTCTTCACATAACATGTTCTAAAACCACTATTTACACATTCTAAAACTGAGGGTTGTCCTTTCCAAAGAAATAAAAAAGTTCATTCGTTTCTAAGACATAATGTTCTGGTTCAAAAAGCATACGCACACACACGCTCACCAACACACATGCGCGCGCGCACACAACACACACACACTTAAAAGATTAAACTTAAAAGATCCGCCCTCAAACTTAACTTGAAATGAAAATAAGAATAATATATACCTGATGTTGTGTAAATGAAAATTACAGTTAAATGTTAATATAAGTATTACTGAATTACTGAGGTAGAAAATAACAAAACGATATGTTTTTAAAAAAAACGGCATCTTTGGTGGTTCTTCTTCCTTGCATCACCCCTGTCACTTATCAGTAACTTTTAACACATTTGATACTTTTAAAATTATCCACGAGAGTGGACAAGGGCGGGGCAAGTGGAGTGCTGGGTAAGCCTGGCGCATCGTATGGTCCCACCCCTACCCACCTTCAATTGTCTGAGGAAACAAATACTTACATGATTGTAAACAATATCCATCACCAAAAACGTAAAACAATATCAATATCCTATAAACCTCTTTAATCATATTTATTCGTTCTTCACAATAGCTAAAAATAGTTGAAAATCACACATATAAAAAGTAAATACAATTTGTACGAAGTTTTAATTTCGTATATACCTTCATTTGATAAATTAAAAATAAAAACAACTTGTATTATAAACAAGCCTTTATTTAGTCACACGTCCAAGTGCCTAGAGACAGACATTTTCGTTGTTTTAACTTCAACAAAACTGACAGTTAGTCTAGGTTTTTATTTATAAATAAGTACACCATGAATGGGTTTTGACCAGTGACGGTTTTGAGCTGAGTCACAGTATATGTATCATAACGCGCACGTGAATTATAGCGTGTTTTATACCTTTAAAGTCACATTATGCCTTAGAAATAATTGTTGTTGTTTTTTTTTTTGCTTCTTTAGAAAGGACAAACATGGGTTGAGTAATGTTTAAATGATGGTTTTAAAAAAGTTAGACGTTTGTTACCTGAAGAAAGTAACGATAAATGTGAAATTATCATAAGAGTAGCAAAATCTAAGCAAAGTAGTATTTTGACTTCCATGCAAAATAAACAGTTCCTTTAACTGTACTTAAAGCCTCGGTCTCACTTACTCCCGGCAGAGCCCAGGACCATCCCGGTAAGTTACCGGGATGATCCGGGACGATCCGGGATGAAATTATTGTTGCGGTCACACTTACCCCGGCAGCACTACGGTAGTTCCCAACTAGTCACCCAGGATGCACTCCGGATCATCCAGGCAGAGCCCAGGTGAAGCTACGGTTCATGCCGGTGCTTCCCCGGTCGTTCCCGGATGACGCCGGAAGAGCCCCGGTTGACCAAGGCAGAGCCCCGGTCGATCCAGGCAGAGCCCCGGCAGAGCTCAGGACGATCCAGGCAGAGCCCCGGTAGAACCCCGGTGGATTGAAAACGCCCGAAAATGATAACTTTGATACATAATTTTTATTTAATATAATATCTATTGTTCCAGAATAGTAATTCATGATGATTTTCTGAAAAATCCTTATGCCATACTGGATATAGAAGGGAAATGGGAAGGCTTTTAATACAAACAAGTTCAATCATCACAAATTGTCCTTATTTTTTTTAAATGATCCGGGCTTTGCCGGGGCTCTACCGGGATCAACCGTAGCTCTACCTTTATCCTCCGGGGCTCTGCCTGTAGTTACCGGGGCTCTGCCGGCATATACCGGGGCTCTACCGTAGCTCTACCGTAGCTCTGCCGGCTTTATCATACCCCGGATCATCCCCGGTTTGTGCCGGCAGAGCTACGGTGCTTTCCCGGTATCACCCCGGTCGTTCCCGGCAGAGCTAAGGATGATGCCGGAAAAGCTATACCTTCCCGGATCATCCCGGACCACCCCGGTGATATTAAATATTTTATTCCATCCGGGATCGAATGCCGGATGTTCCCGGATCATCCCGGATCATCCAGGACGTTGCCGGCATAGTTACGGATGTACCCCGGTTGTTCCCGGTCGTACCCCGGTCGTTCCCGGATCACCCCGGACGTCTACCGGGGCTCTGCCGGGGCTCTGCCGGGATGTAAGTGAGACTGTAGCTTAATGTCAAAAAGCAACATATGAAAAAGTTGTGTAATGAGCAACATTTTATATACTATAAAAATATGCTAAGATTAAAAAGCTTTTGAGAAATAAGAATTAAAGCATTTCTAAGGCGTAATTTGCCTTTGAATGCTTTATTTTCATTTTATTTACTCTAATAGATAAAACTTTTACCTGATTTCTCAACAGTACAGTTATAATCATCTCACATTTCTGCATATATGTTTGCAACATGCAAATGAACTTCTCGCATCTTTATTGTATGATAGGATATTTTCAATTAACCAATGCGTGGAAATTGAACTAATGTTTTTAAATTCTAACCTATACAGTTCAACATATGTACTTCTGAACTCGGCAAATGTAGGTTCAACCACCCCGTCCCCGTTCTCGCCGCCCCTGTCCCCCGTCCCTTGTTCCATAAAAAAGCGGATTCAACAGTGGAAGCTTGCTTATAATGTGAAAGATTTACCTACAGTATTTATAAATCTGATAATTTAATCCTCAAAAATTCTTTAAAATGACATTTGTGTTTCGTTAAAATTGTTTACTTTATTTACTGTTTGATAGAACAAAAGTGTATCTATCGAGCATACTATTAAAAAAGTATGAGTTCCTTTATCATTGTATCATGATTTAATCTGAACATTCACATACTTTTTTAATGTATTTTATTTTAGTTGTCGTCGGATGCCTGTAACATTTTATAAAATCTTAAAAGTATACAATCTGTATGATGATCATTATCCATTGAAAATGTAAGAAATACAATGTACTTGTAAAGAGTTATATCCTTTTGGACGAAACTAATAAATTGTTCGAGCGAAAATACCGACAAACTATCTGGTAAGGTTTACAGCATGTTATATGAAATGAATACTTTAAACAATGTTAAGTCCCAATGGATCGAAAATGTTAGAAATTTGTTATGTTCTTCAGGGTTTTCAGGAGTATGGTACTGTCAGAGTTTTTAAATGAGAAATGGCTGATTGGGTCAATTTGCCGAAAGTTAAAAGATTAATAGAATCTATCATTGGGTTAGATAGAGGATAGGGAAATCCCAACCCGAGCCGGGTGATCGGTTCCATCGGGAACGAGCCTTGGCGAGTTCCCGATGGAACCGATTGCCCGAGGGTTGGGATTTCCCTATCCTCTATCTAACCCAATGGTTGATTATTTTTCTCACTCACCTGAACACACAAATATCAGTGAATCTACTTGCTACGCCCATTACAACGTACCTAGTTTTGAAAAGGGGCGGGGCTTAGGCACCTGACTTTCTATGATTAAAAAGCATTATGTACGTCCGCAAAAAATTCTTCTGACCAAGTTTATGTGTGAAAAATTTAATGAAAATAAATTCATATGAGACCCCTCATGAAAAAGCAAGGTTATCATGATGAAACACATCGATATTAAAAACGGAAAGTGCCATAATATAAGTGTTTATAAGGAATTCAGTCCATACTTCAATGGTTGACAAAAAAGCGTTTACCGTTTGCAAAGATTTTTCTACTTTTGGGTTATTTTGGCCGAATATTCAATTAAAATATATCAAAATGAGATTCGTCATCAAAAAGCATCGTTATCATAACAAAAAACATGAATGTTTTTCAGGCAAAGTGTCATAATATCCGATTTTACGAAGAACGTTTCGATATTTTAAAGTGTGCTATTTTTAGTAACGGATCGTTATTGGAAAGGGCGGATCTAGGTAGAGTAGGACTCATTGCAGTGTGAAAGTTAATATCAATCTATTTTGATTCCGTAGACAATTTAATAGATAAGCTTACAAATTTTAATACATTTTGACCTTTTGACGTTTAATATTTGTTAAAATAGGAGTGAATCGCGTATTATTTAGAACTGCTGCACGTTGAGTGTGAGATAAGCCCATGTGAGATAAGATTTTCCAACACCGCTATTTTTAGTAACATTTAAGGATTTTTCTATCTGGTTAGTGAGAAAATTTTATACAGAAATGGCGCTCTGATATACAATTAACATCAAACACGAATATTTACAAAGGTATTAAAACTGAGTTTGGTAGAAGTGCTTATATCAAGATTTTGTCATCTAGGCGAAGCTCATCAATTATGCGTTTTTTACCAGAAATCATAGGCTACCTGTGGAAACAGGAAGATGGCAGGGTATACCTTCTTCTGAAAGAAAATGTTCCTTTTGTAATGATGATGTAGGTGACAAATTTCATTATTTGTTCAAATGTCAAAAGTTTTTTGTGAAAAGAAAAAGGTATTTAAAACGGTATTTTTATGTTAATCCAAATTTTTTCAAATTAGAAGAATTGTTTAGTAGTGAAAATAAAAGTTTACTGAATAAACTTAGTATTTTTATCGAAATTATATCTAAAAATTTGTAACACTGATATGCCTGGATTGCTTGTTTACTTGAAAAAATATATTTATTTGCTATAGGTATGTTTATTTGTAATGTTACATATATGATTTGGATATGTTTGTCATTCTCTATTTACATAGCACTTGTTAATATGCCGCCATTATTCACTGTAATTATTATAAAACGATGCTCATGTTGTTTACTTGATGTAAACCTAAGATGGAAATAAAAGTTTGAAAGTTTGAAGATCTAGTAACGTGAAAATGAAGTTTTAAGATGTCGCGTTTTATCCGCTGCGTAAAGGGCAACAACTGATAATGTTTGTTTTTATATAAAGATAGTTCAGTTAACTCCCTTCAGTATTAGCGAACATGTTTGAACCATACTGCGAAAATTTCAGCATCAATATTGCCAATATTTTGTCCGGATATCTATAAAAACAAAGCATCAGTTTTGAATAATTCAAGACAGTATGTCAAAGTTTCAGATGATAACAAGCGAGTGTTTTTGATTTAAAATACAATGGTAAAAGAGTTAAAGAACAATGAGTCAAAGTTTGGCATTGTCAATTGTTTAGATCACCTTTTATCTGTGTAAATATTGCATCACAAGATATCAACTTTTGCTCGAGTATCGTCACCCGCAATCCATATACGATTATATGTATAAATACATGTTACGATGTACAATGTATGTATGACTTATTCCAGATGATTGTTAGTACTGTTGCAACTGAACGATTTTTAATCATTCGGAATATACCAATTTCTCTGCTTACATTATGTACATCATGAGATGTCGGCTTCTATTGTTCGTGTAGTTCTAATTTGCATAGTTGTGAGATTTGTAGTGGCATTTTTACAGGCCCATTGTACATATTCTTAATTATCAAAAGTTTTTTTTATTTTTCGTGTCCAGTTATAGTTTCCATAAAATAGTACATTTGAAATTTACCCGAGGCGTATTTTGCTTCTGTTGTTTTGTTTTTGTTTTTTTTTTTGTTTTTTTTGCAATTAATATAGCTTTCGAGATTAAGTAGTTTTATGGAAGTCAAATTTGTTTACATTTTACTATCTTTATGACGAATTAATTTACATTCAGCACTATATGTCAAACAATGCGCATCTAACATGCTTTTAAAAGTATTATTTTAAACATTTTAAAACGGATGTTGTCCTTTCTAACGGACAAATTTATTCGTTTCTGAGGTATAATGAGCGTTTAAAAAAGTTACACGTTTTTATTTCTCAAATTCCATGCGGCGATTTGCTTTTGAGGACAACATATTGTAACCAAATAACAATTTAACGAACAGTGAAATGTTTACACACTTTCGGAGGTTGTATATTAACACACGAA